GGATGGACAGATGGACACGCGGATGGACAGATGGACACGCGGATGGACAGATGGACACGCAGATGGACAGATGGACACACGGATGGACAGACGGTGAGGTCCCTGTCACTTCATGGGAGGTGGGACTGGGGTTGAACAGAGTCCCCGTGTTTGGGCTCACCTTGGTGTGCCCGAACTTGTACTGGTTGTGGTCGATGTCGATGGAGCCCAGGAGCTTCTCGGCGCCCTTGCGGCTGTCGATGAACTGCCCCTCGGGGATGGCCGCGGGGTTCAGGATGCGGTACCTGGTGGGCAGAGAGGACACAACACCCCCCCCCGATCAGCCCTGGTGGGGTTGTGCCCCCCACCCTGTGCCCCCAGCCCCACGCCCCCCGCCCCGTGCCCACCGCTGGCGGAAGTCCCCGTAGAGGATGCGGTTGGGGAAGCCCTTGCGGCAGATGCGGATCCCCTCCAGGACCCCGTTGCAGCGGAGCTGGTGCATCACCAGGGCGTTGTCCATCACACCTGGGGGGATGGACACGGGCTGGGGGGGTCAACCACGAGCCACACCCACCATCTTCCCACCCCCCCCTCCCCGCCCTCTGCTCACCCGGTTGCTTCCGCTCGTTGGGGACGAGGCAGCGCACGAAGTGGGGGTGGGTGGTCTTGAGGTTGGCCATCAGCTTGTTGAGGTTCTCCTGGGGGAGGAGAGAAGAGGTTGACCGAAGGGAGAGCAGGGGAGGGGCCACGGGTGGAGGGTGGTTGGCCACACCGGGGGTTGTCCCCCCTCTGCCCCACGGAGTCTCTCACCCGGTGCAGGGCCGAGACCGTCTGGAAGGAGGAACCTTTCTTCTTGGCCCCTTTGCCCTTCCCGCCGTCACCACCTGAGGAGAAGACGGATGGGGTGAGGTGGGAACGAAGGCAACTCCAGTAGGCGACTGTCTTCTCCATCCACCCGTCACCCACCGGAGTCCGCCCCGGCGTAGTTGGAGAAGAGGCTGGCCAAGAGCTTGAGGGCGGATTTCTGGTAGAGCCCCACCACCGTCTCGTTGAGGGGGTCCTTGTTCTTCTCCAGCCAGCCCAGGATGTTGTAGTCCACGGTGCCGGCGTAGTGGACGAGCGAGAAGTGGGCCTCGGCCTTGCCCTTGACGTTGCGCGGCTTCCCGAAGTTGGCCGACTTGCCCAGGTGGTTGTCGTAGAGCTTGGCCTTGAAGGTCATGTCCGAGGCCTTGGGGAACATGCACTCCTCCTCCAGGATGGACATGATCCCCATGGGCTGGGGAGGAGGAGGAGATGTCGTTGGCCACGGGGGACACCGAGGACCGCCCAAAAGTCACTCGTTGGGTCACTGACGGGACCCTCCTCCATCCGCCCCCCCCCGGAGGCCCTGGTGGGGGTGGTACCTTCTCGATGAGGTCGATGCAGGCCTGGAGGTCCATGCCGAAGTCGATGAACTCCCACTCGATGCCCTCTTTCTTGTACTCCTCCTGCTCCAGCACGAACATGTGGTGGTTGAAGAACTGCTGCAGCTTCTCGTTGGTGAAGTTGATGCAGAGCTGCTCGAAGCTGTTGAACTGGGGGAGGAGAGGGAGGGGCGGATGACGGGATCGGCGCGGTCAACTCAACCCCCAACGGGGCCAGGGGGGTGAACCTGAGACCCAATGGGGTGAG